TCAATTTAAGGGCTTTATTGGCATGGGAAACGTATGTTAACGTTGCCAAAGCAAGTGAAGTAGATAGTAAACAAAAGTGAAATAAACAATAAATATTAACAGTAAACATTACACTCAGAAGTTTCAAAACAATAAAGACATTTCAAATGTCATATTATGTATATATACAGTGTTGTAACAATGTGCAAATAGTTAAAGTACAAATGGGAAAATAAATAAACATAAATATGGGTTGTATTTACAATGGTGTTTGTTCTTCACTGGTTGCCCTTTTCTTGTGGCAACAGGTCACAAATCTTGCAGCTGTGATGGCACACTGTGGTTTTTCACCCAGTAGATAAGGGAGTCTATCAAAATTGGGTTTTGTTTTCGAATTCTTTGTGGATCGCTGTAATCTGAGGGAAATATGTGTCTCTAATATGGTCATACATTTGGCAGGAGGTTAGGAAGTGCAGCTCAGTTTCCACCTCATTTTGTGGGCAGTGTGCACATAGCCTGTCTTCTCTTGAGAGCCAGGTCTGCCTACGGCGGCCTTTCTCAATAGCAAGGCTATGCTCACTGAGTTTGTACATAGTCAAAGCTTTCCTTAAGGTTGGGTCAGTCACAGTGGTCAGGTATTCTGCCACTGTGTACTCTCTGTTTAGGGCCAAATAGCATTCTAGTTTGCTCTGTTTTTTTGTTTGTTCTTTCCAATGTGTCAAGTAATTCTCTTTTTGTTTTCTCATGATTTGGTTGGGTCTAATTGTGTTGTTGTTGTTGTTGTTGTTGTTGTTGTCCTGGGGCTCTGTGGGGTCTGTTTGTGTTTGTGAACAGAGCCCCAGGACCAGCTTACTTAGGGGACTCTTCTCCAAGTACATCTCTCTGTAGGTGATGGCTTTGTTATGGAAGGTTTGGGAATCGCTTCCTTTTAAGTGGTTATAGAATTTAACGGCTCTTTTCTGAATGTTGATAATTAGCGGATATTGGCCTAATTCTGCTCTGCATGCATTATTTGGTGTTTTACGTTGTACACGGAGGATGTTTTTGCAGAATTCTGCATGCAGAGTCTCAATTTGGTGTTTGTCCCATTTTGTGAATTCTTGGTTGGTGAGCGGACCCCAGGCCTCACAACCATAAAGGGCAATGGGTTCTATAACTGATTCAAGTATTTTTAGTCAGATCCTAATTGGGATGTTGAGTTTTATGTTCCTTTTGATGGCATAGAAGGCCCTTCTTGCCTTCTCTCTCAGATCATTCACAGCTTTGTGGAAGTTACCTGTGGCGCTGATGTTTAGGCTGAGGTATGTATCGTTTTTTGTGTGCTCTAGGGCAACGGTGTCTAGATGGAATTTGTATTTGTGGTCCTGGCAACTGGACCTTTTTTGGAACACCATTATTTTTGTCTTACTGAGATTTACTGTCAGGGCCCAGGTCTGACAGAATCTGTGCAGAAGATCTAGGTGCTGCTGTAGGCCCTCCTTGGTTGGTGACAGAAGCACCAGATCATCAGCAAACAGAAGACATTTGACTTCAGATTCTAGTAGGGTGAGGCCGGGTGCTGCAGACTGTTCTAGTGCCCTCGCCAATTTGTTGATATATATGTTGAAGAGGGTGTGGCTTAAACTGCATCCCTGTCTCACCCCACGGCCCTGTGGAAATAAATGTGTATGTACATGGATTTTATAATGTCGTATGTTTTTCCCCCAACCCCACTTTCCATCAATTTGTATAGCAGACCCTCATGCCAAATTGAGTCAAAAGCTTTTGTTTGTCAATTAGGGTGTGCAGGGTGAATACCTGGTCTGTCGTACGGTAATTTGTTAAAAAGCCAATTTGACATTTGCTCAGTACATTGTTTTCACTGAGGAAATGAACTGGTCTGCTGTTAATTATAATGCAGAGGATTTTCCCAAGGTTGCTGTTGACGCATATCCCACGGTAGTTAATGGGGTTAAATTTGTCTCCACTTTTGTGGATTGGGGTGATCAGTCCTTGGTTCCAAATATTGGGGAAGATGCCAGAGCTAAGGATGATGTTAAATAGTTTAAGTATAGCTAATTGAAATTTGTGGTCTGTATATTTTATCATTTCATTGAGGATACCATCAACACCACAGGCCTTTTTGGGTTGGAGGGTTTGTATTTTGTCCTGTAGTTAATTCAATGTAATTGGAGAATCCAGTGGGTTGTGGTAGTGTTTAATAGTTCATTCTAAGATTTGCATTTGATCATGTATATTTGATTTGCTGTTTGTTCTCTGTTATAGGGCCAAAAAGATTGGAGAAGTGGTTTACCCATACATCTCCGTTTTGGATAGATAGCTCTTCGTGTTGTTGTTTGTTTAGTGTTTTCCAATTTTCCCTATGGATTCTTCAATTACATTGAGCTGATTTCTGACATGCTGTTCCTTCTTTTTCCGTAGTGTATTTCTGTATTGTTTTAGTGATTCAACATAGTGAAGGCGTAGGCTCAGGTTTTCTGGGTCTCTATGTTTTTGGTTGGATAGGTTTCTCAATTTCTTTCTTAGGTTTTTGCATTCTTTATCAAACCATTTATCACTGTTGTTACTTTTCTTTGGTTTTCTGTTAGAGATTTTTAGATTTGATAGGGAAGCTGAGAGGTCAAATATACTGTTTAGGTTTTCTACTGCCAAGTTTACACCTTCACTATTACAGTGGGACGTTTTGTCCAGGAAGTTGTCTAGAATGGATTGAATTTGTTGTTGCCTAATTGTTTTTTGGTAGGTTTCAACACTACTTTCCTTCCATCTATAGCATTTCTTAATATTATTCAGTTCCTTTGGCTTTGATGCCTCATGATTGAGGCATCTCTCTCTCTCCTCTCTAGCACTCTCCCCTCACCCGCTCGCACCGCGCGGCGCCGCGCCGCCGCAGCGCCCGAGCGCGAGCGCGCGCCGCGCGCCGCGGCGCCGCGCGCGCGCGCGCGGCGCGGCACCGGCGGAGCGCGGCGCGCGCGAGCGCCAGAGCGAGCGCGCGGGCCGACGCGCGCGCGCACCGCGCGCGCGCGAGCGCGCGCCGCGCGAGCGACGCGCGCGGCGCACCGCGAGAGCGACCGCGGCGCGCGCGCGGACGCGCGCGCACGCGCCAGCAGACCGCGCGGCGCACCAGGCGGCCGCGCGACCCGCAGCGACGCGCGCGAGCGACGTGGCGAGCCGAGCGCACGCGCGCGCGAGCGCGCTCGAGCGCTCCGAGCGGCGCGCACAGCGTCGTCAGCGCCTCGCGACGCAACCGAGCAGCGAGAGCGACGCGCTCGCTAAACCGGCGCCGCCTGCCAAACCGCGCGCCTCCCCTAGCACGCTCGCCAAGCGCTCTCCAGCCTCCTCTCCTCTCTCACCTCTCTCTCACCTCTCTCTCACCTCTCTCTCTCCTCTCTCTCTCTACTCTCTCTCTATCCCTCTCTATCCCTCTCTTTCTCTTTGTCTCTTTCTCCACCTCAAATCGACACAGAGACCAAAAGCCACGAGAACTCAGCCTTGAAAAACTATGACTTTAACTATGTCTTTATCCTATGTGATTGTCTGCATGTGAAAGATGAGTCTGTAAGACTTTTACAGCTGAGTGGGTGTTCAGTAGAAAGTTAACTTTGACTTGAGGCTCTGTTCAATCTGTATCGCTGAAGCATTACAGATTGCGCAAAATAAATGTAAAGGTAATTGAGGATTATATGCAGCGTTTACTATGAATGCAGTCTATGCTAATGCAGGAACATTGCCTTTAAATTTCAATCACGCTATAATGCTGAACTTTAGAGATACAGTTTGAAAAAAAAAAAAAAACTCTGTACATTACTTGCATTTACTTTGGGCTAAGCACCGAACTCTTTAACAGTCCGAGGGGTAAGAGGTTGAACTATAGAATTAACTTTTTAACAGTCCGAGGGGTAAGAGGTTGAACTATAGAATGAACTCTTTAACAGTCCGAGGGGTAAGAGGTTGAACTATAGAATTAACTCTTTAACAGTCCGAGGGGTAAGAGGTTGAACTATATCATTAATTATTTAACAGTCCGAGGGGTAAGAGGTTGAAGTATAAAATGATGCTGTTCCAAATCAGATGGAAGAGATTATCTTGTCCTTACTAATCTGTACACATATTGTCATAGTCAGTATTATATAAAATAAGAGTGAAAATGACCAACAATCTCTCTCCTACATATCCACATCAACACCATGTACTATAGCTCCCCTCTCTCTCTCTCTCTCTCTCTCTCTCTCTCTCTCTCTCTCTCTCTCTCTCTCTCTCTCTCTCTCTCTCTCTCTCTCTCTCTCTCTCTCTCTCTCTCTCTCTCTCTATTTACCAGGGCTCTCCATAGCTGGTGGGTGGCACAAGGAGGGCACCTACTGAGACAGCCCGATGCCAGTGCCAGTCTAGGGTTGCAGCAGACATGCAGCCCCTCGACCTGCCTAGGAGTACCCACCTGGAGAGCCTGGGTGAGTGACAGACAGCAGTGTTTAGTGACACATCACCCGAGCCATGGCCTGCTCTTCCAGCTTCCATCACTAAGACGCAGGTAGTACAGGAGCATCATGGCAAAAACTGGAAGACTGGCCAACAGCTTTTACCCCCAGACCATCAGGATGCTGAATAGCCACCACTAGGCAGCAACCTGCTCCCCCTGTCCCCCTCCTGCACCTCACCCCAACTGACATTACCCTGCCCCCACCCCAATTAACATTTACCATTGTTACAGTGTTAATATGTATATATTTTATTTAAACGTATTTATATTCTTCATTATTACTTTTATTGATTTATTTCACTTTGACCTGCATTGTTGGAGCTCGGAGCTTACAATGTATTTTTACTGTACCCTGTAATTACACCTGCAACCCTGTACATGTGACTATTACATTTCTAATCTAATCTACTCCATAACTTCCTGTATGTACAGTATATTTCATTTAGATTGCTCAGACTTTTGGCTAAATGTTGCATTGGTCATGTCATAATAATGCATTATCAAAGTCCTCTCTCTAAATCCCTCTTCTTCTCTCTCCCCAGTCTATGCAGCCCTGCCCTGTCTGCTACTAGCACTGCTGGGTCTGCTAGAGGCAGCTAGCAGTTGTCCCACTGTGTGCATCTGCAACAGCAACGGCACAGACTGTACAGGCCTGGCTCTGCTCTCCCTAACCACCGTCCTGCCCCTGCTGCCCCAGGACACCCGCACCCTCCGCCTGCCCCACAACAACCTATCCTCCCTGGGCGACGGGGACCTAGCCAACCTCAGCACTCTGGAGCTCCTGGACCTCTCCTATAACCACCTCTCCAGCCTGCAACCAGGGTCTTTCTCTGGCCTCAGCGGCCTCCAGTGGCTCAACCTCTCTGGGAACTACCTGGGTGACCGCCCCCTACTTACCCCTACAGACCCCAGTAACCAGACAGAGGTTACCCAGTGTAACGGTAGTCGCTGGGGGTTGAGCCGAGAGCTGTTCCAGGGTCTGTGGATATTGAAAGGGCTGGACTTGTCCCTGAACGGCCTGGTAGTTTTGCCCAAGGGCCTGCTGGACGGGCTCCAGGGCCTAGCCTGGCTGTCTCTGACTGGGAACAAGCTGCGGAGCCTAGACAGAGCCACCTTCCAGCCCCTGGGCAGCCTGCTGAGCCTCCAACTGGCAGGCAACCCTTGGGAGTGTGACTGCAACCTGAGGGACTTCAAGCACTGGATGGAGTGGCTGCTGTACAGACGTGAGTGTTATGTTGTGTATTGCTTCAAGGCTACAGTGTTTCATGTACAGTCAAGTCAGTCCGGCCTTCGTTCCATGCCATGCACTAGTCTGATACTGTGTCATGTCTGTTATTGAACTGTAAATGAGCTTTATTACCTATTGATCCTGTTAGTGATCCACTAGATCCCTATGTGTGTTTCAGACGGGCGGGTGGATGCTGTGAAATGCAACCTACCCAAGGAGCTGAGGGGGCGGGACATCCGCAGCATCCCCATAGAGATGTTCAACTACTGCCTGCAGTTGGAGAACCAGGACAGGGTCCCTGGCTACGACGGGCCCCGAGGTGGGAGCCCACCCTGCGTCGGTCGGATCAACGTGCCCATGAACGGGCCCCAGGCCAACCAAGAGGACTGCGTGCGCCAGCGCTACCGGCCCATGAGCGTGCGCAGGGCCTGGGGCACTCAGATGGTGGCGGCGTGTGTGTGTGGCGTGGTGTGTGTGATGATGGTGGTGGCGGCCACCTACGGCTGTATCTATGCCTCTCTCATGGCCAAGTACCAGAGGGAGCTGAAGAACAGGTGGCAGCCGCTGATGGCCGGCGAGGGAGGGGGGGATACAGACGTGGAGGACGGAGCCTTTCCTTCCTCCCCAACATCGCCAGGTGAGCCAGAACCAAAGGAGTCTAGTCCCATAGTCCACGCATACAGAATTACAGGCTTTTGACCTTTGTTTCTCTGACTGGCTGAAATTCCTGTTGGAAGGATTCAGGGGGGCTGTATACCCTAACTGCATATCTTACTACTCAGTGCTTCACGGCATTCAAGAGGAGGGAATGTATGGAGCTGAGAAAGCATATCTCCGCTGCACTTTGCTGGTGTTGGAGGCATACCGACATGATCGTACAGATGATCGTAGAGAGGAAACTGGAAAACTGGACAAACTGGAACGCTGCATTGCTTCAAGACGTGTAAATGCTCTGTGATTTGTTCTTTAGTCAGCTCTCCAACTGTGTGGTGGAGGTTCTGGCACTTCTGCACCTTGGTTCAAAGACATTCCTAGAAATTGTCTTTGAAATCCATTATATTGTACGCCTATACCTTGATCCGACCTTTGTCAAAGTTCTTTGTGTTTTAAGCAAACAATACCAATAGATCATAGATCAAGTCAACATTGAATATCCCTGTCTAATGTAATGTAACTGCCCCTAATGTTTTGCTATAAAAGTCCAGGTTAACAATCCAAGTAGTGGTTGTCGCTCAAATAGTTATAGTAGACATGAATGTACAAGAATATAATAGACATGAATGTTCTGTGTAATCAGTGTTAGACAGATGCAGTCTTGTGTATTAGACCTGTGCTCATGTGCAGTGGCTCAATCCTCTCTCTACTAAATGAATATTCCAATTCATATCAATGTTCATATCTGTGCAGAGTAAGCCTGCTTTTAATGCTCCAAAGCCATACAACACAACAGCACACTACTGACCTCTAGAGGATATTATGATAACAGCAGCTAAAGAGAGTCAGTACCATGGCTAGCAGCCATATTCATTACGAACTGAATCTAGTTGGCAACTATTTCCATTTAACCATTTTGAACTGTCAAAGAGATCAGCACTGACCTAAAAATAGGTACATATATCAGTATCTCATTAGTCCTTTAACAGTTATTTCTGTCTCTATGTTAAGCACATTACAAATTTGCTCTTCAGTTTTGCTCAAGAAGACAAAGTGAGAAACGTGATACTCTGTTAATCACGCTGACGACAATAAAGCATTTATTTATCTAACCTTGCCCATCACAATTTATTCCAGCTGATGTAAGCATCACCTACATTTTTGTGACAGGATATTAAAAAAGCCCATGAAGATAAAGCTCATGATGATGTGAAAACCATCACATACACTTAATAGAAACCCTCCTCTTCTAGGGACCTTCACAAGACACATGGAGTGCTTCCCTCTCCACAAGACAGAAGTGTCTCAAACATTTAGCAGTAGCACCACAGAGAATACTACTACTGTTATGGACACGTCAATACACGTGGAAGCCACAAGATGCATCAACGCCTCCAGGATCGGTGTTCAGCAGCCCGACATTTCAGAGAAAGTAAAAGACAACAGAAGCTTACCTCCAGCCATGGCTGTCTTGCCTCCTGATGACACAGTCACAGCTGTGACGGCTATGACATACTTTGACGCCCCTGTCACAAGAGGATCAACCAATCAACAATCAGTCTAACACAAACTTTGAGCTTCTGTAGGTCTGGGTTGAGTTTCCCAAAAACATAACGATTGTCTTTAGCAATAAGAGCATCGTTCATCCGTTGCCTAAATTACCAGTAGACTTCAGATTATCTTAGTGCTAAAGATGATCATTATGTTTTTGTGAAAATCACCCCTGTTCTGTTATAATGTAATGTCAATAGGAAGGATAACATATTAGCAGAGTTGGGGTTGGACATGGAATTTGATAAATTTCTCCATTAAATTCCTAAATTGACTGGGTAGAAGACGAAATTCACTAGACTGATGCTAGGTCTGTTTGTGTTGTCTTGCCAACTTCTAGTGTCATTGTCACAGCAAGCATTGCCAAGACAGCACAAACAGATCTGGGAACAGGGATGGACCTCAACCCTGGATGAGAGGGATGGTACCTGTCTTGTCTCTGTTGTCTTTGTCCTCCACAGGGATGTAGTAGAGGAAGCGTCCAGGGGGGTTCTCCATGGCCAGGCGGTACCACAGGGGGAAATGGTCCACGGTAAACAGGTTGTCCTTATCAGCTGGAGTCAGGAACGTCCTATAGAGCAGAAAGTAGTTCATAAGAGATAATTAAGAGCAAACTCCTGAGTCCTATTCATTAGTGCACATTGTAGCAAAATGTTTTGCAAATCAAAAACAAGTGTTTTTTATTGGACAAGTTCAGGTAGTGACTGCCTGTTTCTTTCATTTGGTTCCTAGTGAATACTTCCCTGCGCAAAGGACACTGTAATGCTGTAATGCTGTAATGGGCTAACTCTGTAGGGCTAATGTAGGCTGTAATATGGGCTAACTCTGTAGGGCTAATGTAGGCTGTAATATGGGCTAACTCTGTAGGGCTAATGTAGGCTGTAATATGGGCTAACTCTGTAGGGCTAATGTAGGCTGTAATATGGGCTAACTCTGTAGGGCTAATGTAGGCTGTAATGGGCTAACTCTGGGGTAATGTGACTCACTTGGCAACCCTGGTCTCCATGCCAGTGTATCTGGTGAGCCGGATGAGGCCAGAGCGAGTTCCCAGGAACGCTGTCTCCACACCCGCCTCCATCCTGAACACACAAATACACAGATTGGTCTTTATTGCACTCAAACACACATCTGCACATGCGCTCACAAAACACACAACACACACACACACACACACACACACACACACACACACACACACACACACACACACACACACACACACACACTAGCTAAGGAAATGAGTGAAAAAAGGATAATTTGGTAGTCTTACCCAGATGCATTGAGCATGATGGCCTGCCAGTAGGATTCTAAGGGGGCTGTCACTACGGCATCAAACAGGGTCTGCTGCAGCAACACCTCATCACCTGGGACTCACAGACACTCAGTCAACATCAAACCTGATATCTGCCTGATATTAGACTTGTTTATTTGTCTTAATAATCATCTTTATTATCCCCATTAGCTGATGCCCTCACAACCGCTAGTCTTCCTGGGGATCCACAACAAATACGTTAGGGTTAGGGTTAGGGTAACATCAGCGTTGGGGTTAGAGTTAGGGTAACATCAGCGTTAGGGTTAGGGTTAGGGTAACATCAGCGTTGGGGTTAGAGTTAGGGTAACATCAGCGTTGGGGTTAGGGTTAGGGTAACATCAGCGTTGGGGTTAGGGTTAGGGTAACATCAGCGTTGGGGTTAGGGTTAGGGTAACATCAGCGTTGGGGTTAGGGTTAGGGTAACATCAGCGTTGGGGTCAGGGTTAGGGTAACATCAGCGTTGGGGTTAGGGTTAGGGTAACATCAGCGTTAGGGTTAGGGTTAGGGTAACATCAGCGTTAGGGTCAGGGTTAGGGTAACATCAGCGTTGGGGTTAGGGTTAGGGTAACATCAGCGTTAGGGTTAGGGTTAGGGGTAACATCAGCGTTGGGGGTTAGGGTTAGGGTAACATCAGCGTTGGGGTTAGGGTTAGGGTAACATCAGCGTTGGGGTTAGGGTTAGGGTAACATCAGCGTTGGGGTTAGGGTTAGGGTAACATCAGCGTTGGGGTTAGGTTAGGGTAACATCAGCGTTGGGGTCAGGGTTAGGGTAACATCAGCGTTAGGGTTAGGGTTAGGGTAACATCAGCGTTGGGGTTAGGGTTAGGGTAACATCAGCGTTGGGGTTAGGGTTAGGGTAACATCAGCGTTGGGGTTAGGGTTAGGGTAACATCAGCGTTGGGGTCAGGGTTAGGGTAACATCAGCGTTAGGGTTAGGGTTAGGGTAACATCAGCGTTAGGGTTAGGGTTAGGGTAACATCAGCGTTAGGGTTAGGGTTAGGGTAACATCAGCGTTAGGGTTAGGGTTAGGGTAACATCAGCGTTGGGGTTAGGGTTAGGGTAACATCAGCGTTAGGGTTAGGGTTAGGGTAACATCAGCGTTGGGGTTAGGGTTGAATAAATAGCATTGGGGTTGAATAAGTAGTTATTTATGGAGCAGGCTGTAGAGACAGTACTCACACTCCAGATCAGGCTCCTTCCCCTGCAGGTAGCGAATGACAGCCTGAAGCTGAGAGTATTTGCGGTGGTGTGGGTCAATGTCTGTCTCACAGTACGTCCTGAACGGAAAGACAATGGGGTTTTCACTCCATGAAGGGCCATTTAAGGCCAATAAAGTATTACAGTCCAACACTCCATCATTTAGAGTGTTACAGTTCAGTAAATGTATTTAGAGTATTACAGTCCAATACTCTATCATTTAAGCATTACAGTCCAATAATACATAATTTATAATATTACAGTCAATACTTTATTTGTTAGTATTTATCCGTGCTTACCACTCATTGGATAGGGATAGATCAGGGGATGTCAGGTCATGCAGGCCTGAGGGGAGATTGGATGCAACCAGTAAATAAATCAGATTGTTCTGCAGTACATGAGTGGCAGAGAGAGTGGCCAATGGCAGTAGAGTGGGAGAGATGAGTGGCAGAGAGTGGCCAATGGCAGTAGAGAGGGGGACACTTACCCTCTTCCACAGAGACTGTCCCCATGAACATCAGCTGTCCGTGACCCCTTGTCAGCACCATACCAAAACTGCAGAGGGAAATACATACAATGTGGAGTGAGTGACAATGTCGACTTTATTCAACCCAACCGGCCTATGACTACATACCACACTCGCTATCATAGCATCACCATTACCTGAATGGGGTGTCGTTGATGGTTATGTAGAAATAGTCATTTGTTAAGAACAAAGGCCTTTTCTGTTGTGAAGAAAAAATGAGAATTGTGTTATGAGACAGTTGTTAGAATCAATATAGTGCCTCTAGACATCCAGGTTGAGTACCACAACTTTCAAATGTTCCGGCTTAACACGTCTGTACGTAACGGAACGTCAGTTTGGCATAGAGGAACTACGTCACTGCCTACGTCACTGCCTTACCCGCTTGAATAAAATACCAAATAGTAGCTAGCAAGATGGAGACCACAGAGGATATTTTTAATGAGTGCATTTTGCAAGTGGCTAGTTTACATCAACTACCTTCAATAAAACCACTGCAAAGGTTTTGCCTGCCTGGTTTCGAATCGCGACATTCTGTCATGTCTGCCTCATGATTTGTTGGGAGAGTTGTCTGTCTGAAGTGCACCCGCACAGGATTTTTTTTCTTCCCTTATTGAAGTTGCCAAAAGAGCCAGTCATTGAAACCAGAATGTAGTCACTGCTGTTGCCTAGGGTCGGGTGTACGAGACTACTATTAATATTACATTTGACATAATGCATTGAGCCACATCTAATCCCCCCACACACAAGGTCCCACTCACTGCTTTGTCCACTGATGCTCTCACGTTTAAAGACAGAGTGCCCATCTCCCCTTTCACCATGGCTGTCCTTAGCTGGGAAGAACACACACATTAATGCACACAATCACTGTTGATCTTTTATTCAGTTACCTTACCAGCCCAATTACCCAACCAGCACCGTTAGAGCCCAGAACAATACATTCATATATATTCATACCTAGAATAGGAGTTCTACTGTATTGAAATAAATAGTAATGGCGTCTTTTTGTAGGTACGAACTCTGCCATGGCTCGTTGGACAAAGCCTATGGGGAAATGAATGGGTTTTTTGGAGAGTTTTTGGATAAACGGCGACAATAAGGTAAGTGCTAAAGACAGGCTTAGGAGATCTTATACGTTTTGTTCTATGACATAATATTGATCAGCTAACCTCACTTTTTGTGAATTTTGAAGCATTTATGTAATCAAAACAAGCACATAAAGCACATAAATGCTTCATAATTCATAAAGGTCATGTTAGTTGACTGATATTATCTCATAGAACAAAGCGTATAAGATCTCCTAAACTGGTGTTAACCTCATACCTTATATTTGGCTTTTATCCAAAACCCATTCAATTCCCCCATAGGAATAGCTGAACGAACCAGAATTAGAAAATGCTAACTCATTTCCGTTTTTGGGATTACAAGCTGGCGAGCTCTATTGAAGATATTCAGTGGGTTGTCGGTGAGTTATGTGATATGGTATGTAAATGTGCAATAATCATAGCAGGTAATGTTTGTGGGAAAATGTCAATTTTGGGGGGGCCCTCAATGGCATTTTGAAACCGTCCACCCCTGACTGTACATGTGTATTCAACGTTTTCCTCCTGTTTTTATACCCTGGCTCACTTATTCATTGTTTTTTGTTCATTGTAAAGCGCTGTAGAAGACCTATGTATTAATATTACTGTTACTACTATACTACTCACTCTCTCATATATGTAGTATTTTTACTGTTAATACTACACTACTCACAGTCTAATCTATGTATTAATATGACTGCTATACTACTCACTGTCTCATCTATGTAGTAGTATTACTGTTACTACTATTCCACTCACTGTCTCATCTATGTCCTCCCACTCCACCTCAGCCAGGTCCACACTGTTGTAGTTGGGCTTGGGCTTCAGCGTCTTACCGTCTTTATACTGTGGGGCAGGAGAGAAGAAGATGAGGAAGACAACATGGGTGAAAAGAATCAGGAAGAGGACAGACACAAGTTTCATATAGAACCTCAGCTGTCTGTCTGTAATGTGTGTGTTCTCTAGGTTGAGCCGATCACTTAGGACAACTGTGTTTGATGGACATCTCCATAACATGGTATCCTGACTCCAAAGGCTCTATCTCCATGGCAACTGGCTCCAAAAGAAACAAGTAGGCTTATTATTGACCATATAACATGTTTGTTTTCTATGATTGTGTTTTGCTTTGCGTGTATTGATGTGAATATTGATGTGTATGTTGATGTGTATATTGATGTGAATATTGATATGTATATTGATGTTAATATTGATGTGAATATTGATTTGTATATTGATGTGTATATTGATGTGAACATTGATGTGTATATTGATGTGTATATTGAAGTGTAATGGATGTGTATAGTGTATATTTAAGCAACAACGCACAAGGAGGTGTAGTATATACCACGGCTAAGGGCTGTTCTTAAGCACGACACAACACGGAGTGCCTGGACACATCCCTTAGCCGTGGTATATTGGCCATATACCACAAACCCCCGAGTTGCTTTATTGCTATTATAAACTGGTTACCAACATAATTAGAGCAGTAAAAATACATGTTTTGTAACACCTGTGGTATATGGTCTGATATACCATGGATGTCAGCCAATCAACATTCAGGGGTCGAACCACCCAGTTTATAATGATGTGTAATTTATGTTTATATTGATGTGTATAGTGTATATTGAAGTGTAATTGATGTGTATAGTATATATATTATATTATATATATATATTTTTTTAGGGTAGATCAGCTTTAATATTGCAGATAGATTGTAACTTCCATCAATGTAATTGTCTGCATCACTTCCAATCCCCCATATGTTTTTTTCTCTCGCAAATATATATATATATATATATATATATATATATATATATATATATATATATATATATATATATATATATATATATACACAGTACATATACATACATACACATACATATACACATGCATACATATAAATACATCTACATACATATATATACATATCCTTAAAAAAAATTATATTTCCCTTTATTACTTTCCAACCCTACCACCCCTTCCCTAATTGGAGTTTACTAGTGAACAACAATGCTTAGGCCTCTACTTCCAGCTTATACGTATAGTGTATATTGATGTGTATATTGAAATGTAATTGATGTGTACAGTGTATATTGAAGTGTAATTGATATGTGTAGTATATATTGAAGTGTAATTGATGTGTATAGTGTATATTGATGTGTAATTGATGTGTATAGTGTATATTGATGTGTAATTGATGTGTATAGTATATATTGAAGTGTAATTGATGTGTATAGTGTATATTGAAATGTAATTGATGTGTACAGTGTATATTGAAGTGTAATTGATTTGTGTAGTATATATTGAAGTGTAATTGATGTGTATAGTGTATATTGATGTGTAATGGATGTGTATAGTGTATATTGATGTGTAATTGATGTGTATAGTATATATTGAAGTGTAATTGATGTGTATAGTGTATATTGAAATGTAATTGATGTGTACAGTGTATATTGAAGTGTAATTGATTTGTGTAGTATATATTGAAGTGTAATTGATGTGTATAGTGTATATTGATGTGTAATTGATGTGTATAGTGTATATTGATGTGTAATTGATGTGTATTCAAGTGCATACAGGGCACATCTGTAAAAGAGACCTTGGTCTCAGCATAACTTTGGCACCCAGAATCACATTTTATGGTTGCCTGGGAGGGACAAGCTGAAGTTGCCCAATAAGAAAGGCTTGTTTACATTTTCTGTTGCAAAACATTTAGCTACGGTGCACACTAATGAATACAACCCTCCACTGTTCCGCTCAAGGTGTGAGCATAAGGCTGTCATATGAGACTCTATAACCATGTAATGAAATTATTCATGCTCTGTTCAATAACCAATCAGTGACTCCTCACAAAATCTGCAAATTGAACATTGAGATGGTCGTTAGGTTAGACTTTTTGAGCGTGGTCACTGACTGTTTGAGCGTGGTCACTGACAATGGAGCTGGGAAGAACACAAACAGATCTGGGACCAGGCTGCCTGAACCGGAATTTCCTCTGAGTAGACAAGCATTGATAAGTATTGTGGTTGAATGTGTTTTAATTAAATCAATCACCGTTGAGAGACCTCCCGACAAAGGTCTGCATACATACATTTACATTTTAGTCATTTAGCAGACACTCTTATCCAGAGCGACTTACAGTTAGTGAGTGCATACATTTTTTCATACTGTCCCCCCGTGGGAATCGAACCCACAACCCTGGCGTTGCAAACGCCATGCTCTACCAACTGAGCTACACAGGTTGTAGAAGATACATCTGATGAGTCTGAGGACTGCAGACACTTTGAGATTTCCCTCCAAGGTCTAAGGACTACTACTGCATCATCTGATCAGTCAAAGCAAGTCACACATTCCTGGAAGTTATTATTCTCAGGTAGTGGATGCACATATCTTTCTATCGCTATGAGGGCCAGAGTCACCTGAGAATTTAAAAACACAACGTGCCTTGCACCACCCTCCAAAATACTAAACTCAACAGTATTGCATGCTCTTTCTACATCTCACACCATCTCAACATGACAACGGTCCAAGAGGAGCTTGATCTATCAGCCTGTTGTTGGTGGTAAATCGCTGCAGGGAAAACATATTTCTGTCCTCCCCCTCCCCATCCCCCTCCTCCTCCTCCTCCTCCTCCTCTTACTCTCCTTCAGGTTTAAATGTGACTCACATGACAGTTGGTAAAACAGCAAAACTAAAAGATAGCATATCTTATTACAGGTATAAGTGTTCATGTGAGTGCTACAGTCCACTGGATATGTTTTGGGACAAGCATCCTATATGTGCTTTTAATAAGGTTACATGTTTGAAGTGTGTGTTCAAGTGAGTGCTTAAGATGCCTATTTGTTTGAGGATGTTGCAGAGTTGCTTATCTCGTCTTATACTGCTCAGTGAAGAGTCTTTCGTTGTGATTGATCTTTTCCCACTGTTTTAGTATTTAATTTTTTGGTCTCAGAATTCTACAACATCAGATCTATATTATGTACTCTATAAATACAAATGGAAATAAAGCAACAGTGTAGAAGTGTGATAATTATTGTGTATTGGTTGAATGTAACAGTCCAGGCAGCCTGAAACAAACACTAAAAGTATATGAAAGATTTCAATTGAGATTTGAAACCAGGTCAGAGTAGTAGTAGTAGTAGTAGTAGTAGTAGTAGTAGTAGTAGTAGTAGTAGTAGTAGTAGTAGTAGTAGTAGTAGTAGTAGTAGTAGTTTTTACAGCGGTAGTAGTACTGGTGACTGCAGTCGTGACTATAGTATTACAAATAGGGACCGTTGTTGTATTAGTAGTGACTAGTGTTGCAAAATTCTGGGAACATTAAATAAATTCCCTGGTTTTCCAGAAATCCTGGATGGAGGATCACGGAAATCCTGATTTTTCCCTCCTGATTCCATGAATCCACCAACCGGGAGTTTGGGAAAACCACAGAATTGATTGAAAGTTCCCCGAATTTTGCAACCCTAGTAGTGACTATAGTCGGAAGCAGGCATAAGCTCTACAGCGGTTGGACTCACCAGAGGACGTAGGTCAGGGTGTGCCAGGATGTACCCATTGTTGGTGATGAGGAAGGCGTAACCATGGGGACCCAGCCTATATCTGGGAGCCAGCTTCATTACCTCCAGCAGGGGGATGTCAGAACCGACCACCCCCAGCAGGATCCCATGGCTCAGCTGGAGGAGAACGGGAGAGGAGGGTCTATAAGACTTCTAACGGCACAACAACTACAGTAACATGTCACTGCAACACTGCTGCACTGTGCACACAGTGAGCTGCTTGACCAGGTTCAAATATATACCACATACCTTTTATAGCTCTACATTACTACAGTTGTAACAGGCTCATGGGGAAGAAGAGTCTGGTGATTCAAAGAGACTACTACAATTCAAACTTCTAACTGTTATTACTTTGATTACCACCATGCCTATGTTTAATATAGATTTAAATCTAACAAAGGCTTTTAGTCCACTGACCGTCTCTTTCTTTTTGCTGAAGACAGGCATTGCCACGCTGGTCATGAGAAGTAAACTTTGAGCCTTTGTGGCAAAGAGCTGGAGGAAAAATTGCAGCGTTAGTACATATTTATGCATCACAAATCATCTTTTGTTTATCCTAAACCAAATCAAGCTGTTGGTTCTGGTACTGCTCCTACTTGTTAACGACTAATACCTGCAATTAAGAATCGCTACACTAGAGGGTGCCATACAACTGCAGTTGGTGATAGCCTATCGAAAGCTTGGGAGACCGCATTCACTATTACCACAAGGCCTAAACAGAAGAGGACCGCACTAAAAGGGCTTCCCTATCAGACAAGCTGTATTTCCCACAGTCTCTTTTTACCTCCTTCGTATTGGGTAGCTGTCAGTGTGAGTGAGTGAGGGTCAGGTCCGGTGATAGAGGTCAGGTGAGATGAGAGAATGAGCACAGTAACAGGACAGAAGACAAAAACAGGGAGGAGTCATGAACAACACAGATGCACAGAATGAATGAACTAATGAACTAATATCACTGACAACACACCTTGACAATACAGTAGACAGCTGACTTTCAAACAGGACAGTGTGAGGTGACAAACATGAGGTTAAATGCAACAACAACACTTTGCCTTTGAAGCCAAAGAAAGTGCAGATTTGGTCCTGTAAGAAAAGGCAGAATGTACTACAGTTATTAGGCAAAGCACACACTGGGTAAGTATAGCTGCCGTACTCACCACAGTGTCCATGTAAGCCTCGGTCCAGATGATGTCATGATTGTGATTGATGACCATTGGTCGGCTCAGGACATGAAGGTACTCCATGACATTCTCCTGCACGTCAGCCAGAGTGGAGATGTGTGTGTAATAACCCTTGTTGTTGCAGGCGATCCACTTGGTGTTGTCCGCGAAGGTCATCTCTCTGCCTATAAGGTAAGTGAAGAGGCGCACCTGAAAGAGACAGTATTGGAGACTGATATTCAATTCAATAAGTTCATTAAGTAAATACTGAACATAATAAACTGATAAGGCCGTTAAGGTGATGTCCTCAAAATACCTAGCTGTTCTGGGGCAGTAGGGAAATAGAAGAACAGAATAATTTACTTGTTGTGTATTGTTAGATGTTGCACTGCTGGAGCTAGGAACACAAGCATTTCGCTACACCCACAATAACATCTGCTAAATATGTGTATGCGACCAATCCAATTGTATTTTATTTTATTTGAATGTACCGTAAATAGGTATTACTGTAGGTCAAGTGGGTATGTACAGTGAGGGAAAAAATTATTTGATCCCCTGCTGATTTTGTACGTTTGCCCACTGACAAAGACATGATCAGTCTATAATTTTAATGGTAGGTTTATTTGAACAGTGAGAGACAGAATAACAACAAAAATATCCAGAAAAACGAATGTCAAAAATGTTACAAATTGATTTGCATTTTAATGAGGGAAATAAGTATTTGACCCCTCTGCAAAACATGACTTAGTACTTGGTGGCAAAACCCTTGTTGGCAATCACAGAGGTCAGATGTTTCTTGTAGTTGGCCACCAGGTTTGCACACATCTCAGGAGGGATTTTGTTCCACTCCTCTTTGCAGATCTTCTCCAAGTCACTAAGGTTTTGAGGCTGACGTTTGGCAACTCGAACCTTCAGCTCCCTCCACAGATTTTCTATGGGATTAAGGTCTGGAGACTGGCTAGGCCACTCCAGGACCTTAATGTGCTTCTTTTTGAGCCACTCCTTTGTTGCCTTGGCTGTGTGTTTTGGGTCATTGTCATGCTGCAATACCCATCCACGACCCATTTTCAATGCCCTGGCTGAGGGAAGGAGGTTCTCACCCAAGATTTGACGGTACATGGCCCCGTCCATCGTCCCTTTGATGCGGTGAAGTTGTCCTGTCCCCTTAGCAGAAAAACACCCCCAAAGCATAATGTTTCATTTACATTTACATTTTAGTCATTTAGCAGACGCTCTTATCCAGAGCGACTTACAGTTAGTGAGTGCATAATTTTTTTAAATATTTTTTTTTATACTGGAATCGAACCCACAACCCTGGCATTACAAATGCCATGCTCTAGTTTCCACCTCCATGTTTGACGGTGGGGATGGTGTTCTTGAGGTCATAGGCAGCATTCCTCCTCCTCCAAACACGAGTTGAGTTGATGCCAAAGATCTCGATTTTGGTCTCACCTGACCACAACACTTTCACCCAGTTCTCCTCTGAATCATTCAGATGTTCATTGGCAAACTTCAGACAGGCCTTTATATGTGCTTTCTTGAGCAGGGGGACCTTGCAGGCGCTGCAGGATTTCAGTCCTTTACTGCGTAGTGTGTTACCAATTGTTTTCTTGGTGACTATGGTCCCAGCTGCCTTGAGATCATTGACAAGATCCTCCCGTGTAGTTCTGGGCTGATTCCTCACCGTTTTCATGATCGTTGCAACTCCACGAGGTGAGATCTTGCATGGAGCCCCAGGCCGAGGGAGATTGACAGTTATTTTGTGTTTCTTCCATTTGCGAATAATCGCACCAACTGTTGTCACCTTCTCACCAAGCTGCTTGGCGATGGTGTTGTAGCCCATTCCAGCCTTGTGTAGGTCTACAATCTTGTCCCTGACATCCTTGGAGAGATCTTTGGTCTTGGCCATGGTGGAGAGTTTGGAATCTGATTGATTGATTGCTTCTGTGGACAGGTGTCTTTTATACAGGTAACAAACTAAGATTAGGAGCACTCCCTTTAAGAGTGTGCTCCTAATCTCAGCTCGTTACATGTATAAAAGACACCTGGGAGCCAGAAATCTTTCTGATTGAGAGGGGTCAAATACTTATTTCCCTCATTAAAATGCAAATCAATTTATAAAAATGTTTACATGCATTTCTCTGGATTTTTTTGTTGTTATTCTGTCTCTCACTGTTCAAATACACCTACCATTAAAATTATAGACTGATCATTTCTTTGTCAGTGGGCAAATGTACAAAATCAGCAGGGGATCAAATACTTTTTTCCCTCACTGTAGTTATTCATATAGAGTAAATTGTAGATTTGCCCTACAGTACCCTGCGATCAGGCCAGTTGAACTCTTCAAACACGTCTTTGAAGTCCTCCATGGCTCCATCTGTGATCAGCATGATGGCCTGGTTACACAGGCTGCCCTGGCCCTTGGTCGCAGCCTGGGAGGAAGCACCACACAGGGAAGGAATGAGACTGGGCCAACAGCAAGTGTGTGGAAGTATGTGTGTGTGTGTGTGTGTTGGAAGCAAACCTCGTTCAGAATTTTGAAGGATTCTTTCATGGCCTTTGCAACTTTTCCCTCTCCTTTCACATGAAGCTCAGCCACTAGCACCTTAAAATGCTGGAGCGAGAGAGAGAGAGGTAGAGCGAGAGAGAGAGAGAGAGAGGGGGGGGGGGGAGAGGGAGAGAGAGGGAGAGAGAGAGAGAGAGGGAGAGAGACGGAGAGAGAGAGAGAGAGAGAGAGAGAGAGAGAGAGAGAGAGAGAGAGAGAGAGAGAGAGAGAGAGAGAGAGAGAGAGAGAGAGAGAGAGAGAAGAAAAGGGCAACCAGTGAAGAAAAAACACCATTGATGTACTTTAACTATTTGCACATCATTATAACACTGTGTATAGACATAAATGACATTTGAAATGTCTTTATTCTTTTGGAACTTTTGTGAGTGTAATGTTTACTGTTAATTTTTTGTATTGTTTATTTCATTTTTGTTTATTATCTATTTCACTTGCTTTGGCAATGTAAACATGTTTCCCATGCCAATAAAGCCCTTAAATTGAAATCTGATTGAATTGAGAGAGCACCTTTTATGGTGAGAAAACAATGTGATGTACAGACAGATATGCAGCACAACACAGCATAGCACAGGACAGGACAGGACAGTGTAAGGTCAAATACACCAGTCCAGTTGACTGAATACCAAGAGGGTTTTTCATGGCCACTGTGACCTGGTTGCAGTCACTGGTTAATGGCTATAAAGCTCTTTGTGACAATTTTATTAAACACACTATTCCAATGGTATTTGATTGATTGAAAACTATAATGCAAATAAGGAGTTTCAAATGTGTAATGCTCCAGGTTTGTTTACTTAACACACCTGGCAACTATTTACCTTAACAACAGAGAGTCATCTAGGTCCTAAGGGTAACCAGAGTGTGAACCTCATTCCTGAGGTTTTACCCATCATGGTGCCAGAGGCATCCAGAATGTTCCTGAGAGGATCTGGTTGTGGGATATACTGTAGGAGCAGATGCTAGGTGGCTAAAACCAAACAGGAAAACATTTGTGGCTCTGCTCATAAATCACCCAGCGCAAGTTTACCGGCCAGTATGCTTGCCTCCCTGCCTCCCTGCACGCTAAAATTCTGCACGCTAAAATCGTGTCGATTGACTTATCAATACATTTTATGAATACATTACATTTCTATATCATATATGTAATTTTGTGTTCTACATATTATAGTATACATATTTTTAAATGATTCCATCCCTGTCAGTCACACTCCATTACAGTCTCTCTCTACAGTAGGCTGATGGTTGTGAATGACAGCTGACCTGGCCTGCTCTCTGATCCACACTGGGCCAATACAGGAAGTAGGAACTATGCCAATAGGTGGAGCCAACTACTCCACACCTAGCTTAGCAGCATGACTGACAGCCAAGGTGGCCCTTCATGCTCCCACTCCATAGGGGTGTAATGTCATAACAGAACACTTTGAGTTGCTAGAGCCCTGCTGAGAGGTAAGGGCTCCGTGGCTTAGTGGCCACAGCTTACCTGAAGAAGATAATGGGCTTACCTCGCGGTTGTCCAAGTCAGCCTGCACCAGGGTGCCTTTGAAGCATGGCTCTACGTAGCGCACGTAGTCAGTGTACTGGGGGGAGAAAGGACGACAAGGCAGGGTTGGAGTTAGCACAGGTCTGTCAGGCTGTAGTCCTGTCAACAGTGTAACAGTGCTGCGATGTAACAGAGTAATGGTGTAACAGGTAATGTGTAAAGGTGTGATGATGTAATGGTGATGGCTTAGTCAACTAAACACCAACTGAAGATGAGGGTGAATCTTTCACGTTTCAACACATGGAAATCACAAGACCCTGTGTTTGAGATGTCTTGTTCTGCTGGTGCTTAATGGCAGGAGGAGTGCTTGACTCACAGCGATGACGTTGACAAAGTCGTTCTCCCCCAGTGTGTCCAGGATGGTGTTGATGGTGTGCTTGGCGATGGTCATCTTCAGACCCTTCATACTGCCGCTGATGTCCACCACGATAATAATGTCCTTTGGTGAGGTGGCAGCCTGGATATACCTGGGGGACAGGGGGAGAGAGATAGGACTGTAACATTATGGTGTACACTATGTGAGGATTCTCTACCTCTACTGTACTTGAGGCCCAAGCTTGTGTGGTACAGGGAGTAGAGTACGGCGCACTGCAGGACCGTAGGATGGAGCCCCCAGTCAACGGTTCTATCTCACTCTCTCATACTGCTTCATGAAAATACTTTCCCCATATAATTCACAACCACTTGACATAACGATCCACATTAAATAAAAAAGCTGTGTAGGCCTACAGCATAGGGCACTGTATAACATCCCAACCACAGTGCCCCTCCCTATGAATTTAGTTTCAAAACATGACAGATGCAAATGCGCACACACACACTCACACGCGCACACACATACAGTACATACGCGCACACACACACACACACACCTACCTATTTGGTCTTTTTTATATCTACATGTACAGTGGGGAGAACAAGTATTTGATACACTGCCGAACTTTTCTATAGGATTGAGGTCAGGGCTTTGTGATGGCCACTCCAATACCTTGACTTTGTTGTCCTTAAGCCATTTTGCCACAACTTTGGAAGTATGCTTGGGGTTATTGTAGGCGGTCTCGTCATTGTTGGTAATCAAGCCTACTACTGTTGTGTCATCTGCAAACTTGATGATTGAGTTGGAGGTGTGCTTGGCCACGCAGTAAAGTACGTTCATCTCTAGGAGACAGAACGTGTCTCCTTCCTGAGCGGTATGATGGCTGCGTGGTCCCATGGTGTTTATACTTGTGTACTTAGTGGGGAGAACAAGTATTTGATACACTGCCGATTTTGCAGGTTTCCCTACTTGCAAAGCATGTAGAGGTCTGTAATTTTTATCATAGGTACACTTCAACTGTGAGAGACTGAATTCTAAAACAAAAATCCAGAAAATCACATTGTATGATTTTTAAGTAATTCATTTTGCATTTTATTGCATGACATAAGTATTTGATCACCTACCACCCAGTAAGAATTCCAGGTCTCACAGACCTGTTAGTTTTTCTTTAAGAAACACTCCTGTTCTCCACTCATTACCTGTATTAACTGCACCTGTTTGAACTCGATACCTGTATAAAAGACACCTGTCCACACACTCAATCAAACTGACTCCAACCTCTCAACAATGGCCAACACCAGAGAGCTGTGTAGGGACATCAGGGATAGAATTGTAGACCTGCACAAGGCTGGGATGGGCTACAGGACAATAGGCAAGCAGCTTGGTGAGAAGGTAACAACTGTTTGAGGGGAGGATGGATGGGGGCCATGTATCGCGAGATCTTGGCCAACAACCTCCTTCCCTCAGTAAGAGCATTGAAGATGGGTCGTGGCTGGGTCTTCCAGCATGACAGCGACCCGAAACACACAGCCAGGGCAACTAAGGAGTGGCTCCGTAAGAAGCATCTCAAGGTCCTGGAGTGGCCTAGCCAGTCTCCAGACCTGAACCCAATAGAAAATCTTTGGAGGGAGCTTAAAGTCCGTATTGCCCAGCGACAGCCCTGAAACCTGAAGGATCTGGAGAAGGTCTGTATGGAGGAGTGGGCCAAAATCCCTGCTGCAGTGTGTGCAAACCTGGTCAAGACCTACAGGAAACGTATGATCTCTGTAATTGCAAACAAAGGTTTCTGTACCAAATATTAAGTTCTGTTTTTCTGATGTATCAAATACTTATGTCATGCAATAAAATGCAAATTAATTACTTTACAATCATACAATGTGATTTTCTAGATTTTTGTTTTAGATTCCGTCTCTCACAGTTGAAGTGTACCTATGATAAAAATTACAGACCTCTACATGCTTTGTAAGTAGGTAAACCTGCAAAATCGGCAGTGTATCAAATACTTGTTCTCCCCACTGTATATAAACAGGGACATATGGCGCCCATGTGAACCCCACTGACCTGGGTATTGAGCTGTTGGTTAACCACTTAAGGAGCAGCTTAAAGTATTTCTATGGGATCCGATCAGACTGTCCTGGCCTGGCCTGTCTGTATCTCGCTGTGTTGCTGTGTTGCTGTATTCAGAGCCTTGGGTGCTATCCGTGCCGCTAATCTGAAACCCAGGGACAGCCCAGGTCCCAGGACACTCTCTAACTGAGTGGAGAGACAGGGAGGACAGCCATATACTACCTAAACCTCATCAACACGGCCTGTTGAATACCTGGAAGCTGGAAGTGCTACTGATTGGCCAGTTGGGGTGATATCCTCCCTCTGGCCTAGGAAGACCCCACGGCCTAACAGAAGTGATAGGGGACTCATGCTGGACTCCACATGAGACGGTAAATCAAGGTCCTGACTCTCAGCTGTCATTAATTATATCATGGAACTTGTTGTTGGAGCATGGTTGATAATCACAGTTTCCATCCCATTCTTTAAACTGCCAGCTCAAGGGTGGTGTGGGTGCATTACATGGCCAGGTCCTAGGACCTGCCACATTAGAGCAACATATCCACGGCACTATACACTCTCTTACCTCTGGCTAAGTAAATTAAAGTAGGGTGAATGCTGCAGTGAAGTCTTGTTCAATTTAAAAAGCCAAAAAGTAAATAAATTTAAGCTTGCATATAGATGTCACATAAGTCTATACAGTCTTAAGGTATATCAGGTCACATAACATGTCTTAGTGCCTAACTCCTCCCCTTGTCACATTGATACCAGGAAGTGTCATACTCTTGTCAAGGTCGATGCCACCCAGAGGCTACTAGCAGAGCTAGTAGATTTACTAATAGCTTACCAGTTACGGTTCCTGCAGTCAAACGCAGCCACACCATTCGAATCTGGAGTCCATTTGATACCTGTATACAAAATACATTCACACCATCTCTACAGTGAGTAAACATCATGGCATCCATTCAAATCCTACAACATTATATTGAAGTTGACATCTTAAAACAGATGTCATTTTTGTTTTGCTGTGCTATCTTTTCTGCTACGCTATACTCTGGATTTATACACTATTATACCATAGCATTGTTGAATACTCCTTTCTGATTTGCTTAAAGGGCATTCTAGAGCATACATTATTTCCCTATAACGCACAGTATAATTGCACGATATAATTGAAGTTAATTCTTACATGTTCTATTTTTGAGCTGCAAAAGTTTTGTTGAATTCGATTTTCATAATAGCAAGCTAGGATGATGGTTTGGTTAGCTAAGCTAGCAAGTCTGTTTGCTTGGTTACCAAAGCAACTACTGTAGCTATCTAGCTAGCTAGTAAACTTGCTAGCTACTATGTTGTCACATTTCTACTGGAAAATGAATACATTTCTAGCGGCAAAAATGTTAATTTATAGCCATGGTCTAAAAGGGATAATCAACTCAGGGCTCTATGTGTTCTCTGGAAAATAATGCAACTTCGTGGAAGGTTAATTCCACGTCGTGCATTATTTTCCAAAGAATGCACAGCCCCTCGTTGATTATCCCTTACTAACCACACTATTCTATACACTATTCTGTGCTACTTAATGCTAGCAGTTGTATGGAGCTGACTGAGGGCTCCAAACATGATAGTTGTTTGCTTAGTCCTTTACAGTAGAGGCTGGTGGGAGGAGCTATAGGAGGATGGGCTCATTGTAATGCCTGGAATGGAACACATGGAACAGAATCAAACGTAAGTCGCTCTGGATAAGAGCATCTGCTAAATGACTAAAATGTAAATGTAAACGTGGTTTCCATGTCTTTGATGTGTATGAAACGGATACAATTATTCCATTCCAGCCAATACAATGAGCCCGTCCTCCTATAGCTCCCACCAGCCTCCTCTGGTCCTTTACCAGGGTAGATTCTGAAGAATCCTGAGGAGCTGCCAAAATACTGCCAGGTGAGGGTGGGGTCTTTCTGGAAGTTGTTCATGAACACGTCATTCAGAGCCTCCGACCAGTAGATTCCATTGAGGATGTAGGCATCTTTACACAGAGGAGAAAGAGAGAGCAGCAAATGAGTGAGATGGAAAGTGTGACATCACATATAGTAACTGTCACCTGTTTCACTTTAAAGGCTGACTAAGCCACACCTAACCCAGTTTTCTTTCATGCTAATCTCTCATTGAATTCAATGTGTGATTTATGCAAAATCTGTGCTTCATGCATAGATAAGTTAGGATTTGGATCCAAGGGCCCGAAAACAATTATTGCTGTGTGTTTAAACTTCATCGCACACACCTTTGTTGTAGACGTTGGTTGGAACCTGTACGTCACTCTGCATTGTGTTGACTGGCAGGTTGTTGAAATGCTCATTCTCCTCCAGAGGAAACTCCCCACCCAGCTCTATGAAGTTACCATCTTCATCCGCTGTGTTCACCAGCATGGAGTTATAGTAGTCAAACTGGAGAAGGACACAGCATGGGAAGGGTGGAAAAGTTAAATTCATATTCATCAACTATGATTTGAGTATTGTTGTAAGTCGAGTAACATTAGAAGTGTACGGTAGCCTATATTCTATCTGAAAAAGGCTTCTGCTGGTATTGTTTGTTTTTGTGGTAATCAAAATGTGCATGATGGTTAGGCATTTCATTTTCTCTATTGTGGTACTGTAGAATAGTTTTGTGAAAATCATATTAGCAATACTTTGATAAATCTGAGATCTCATATTCCCACAGACAGATAGAATGACAAACCTGTAGAGTTTTGTTGAAGTCGTGGTACAAATCTGCATCCTCCGCAGACTCAGCCAACCTCTAAGGAGAAAATAAAGCTATTTATTATTTAAAGACGTTTCTCAAACCACAAGCCTAACCACAACACACATGGTAACAGTTCTGTGGGTGGTAACTCAAAGAGGTTATGATGCAGCAGGGGACATCAACTGGCGGCCCGAGGGCAAATCTGGTCCGCGAGGTAATCTAATGTGTCTTAGGTTGTCTTACATAGTTAAAAATAAGAAAAAACTACTTGGCAGGAGAGAGAGACCTCTGACCTCTGACCTCTGTACTCACCTTAACTGACTTCATCTTGGACCCCAGCATTCTCTCCATGTCCTCTGCAAAGTCCCTCACTTGGTCTCTCCCATCGATGTCCACTATCTTAATAATGGACTCCACATCTTTGAGTTTCTGAAAAGAGCAAGGGAGGGGATATTCAACAACACCTTTTACTATGATTGATACAATAACTTTGATCATCTGCGTTCCCATTTGTACAGGAAATAAAATACAGCTCCAAATGTTTCATTGTCATACTACATGTATAATTTTCTCTTAGAACTGATTGAAAGTTAAGTGTGAGCCATTACTTCAATCCATTTGAGGTACCTGTAAATAAGTAGAGGACGGGAGTCCAAACAGAGCCAGCGGAGTCCTCTGGATTTACTTTAATTTTAGGTCTTAATTACTTGATTAAGTTACTCAATAATCCCAATTAACCAAGCAATCCATATACTGAAGGCTGAAGGCTTCATATGGTGTATACTGAGGCTATTAGAGTAGTCATGTGTGAATAGCTCTGGTTGGGAGATAGTTCAGCCATGCTGGATACCAGTGTTTTTACTCAGGCAATTCACAGGTACAGTTCCACTGGGCATCATGTAATTGGATTTAGGTTAAAAGTTGGGTGAAAACAAGACGAAATGCTCTCACGTTGATGACTTTTTGCAAATCCAATTAATTTCCCACGTTGATTCAATGTCATCACATAGATTTATTTGGGTGGAAACAACGTTGATTCAACCAGTTTTTGCCTAGTGGGATGAGTCCACAATGGTCATCATTATGTCAGGAAAATCAGATATTGAGGTAGACATGTAACATAGACAACATCAGCAAACCATAAAACAGTAGTCATGGAAATTGAATAATTAGAGTAGAGACAAACAAAACAAACAAAACAAACAAACACAACAAACATTCTTAAAACAGTATTGGAACATGACTATCTGAAACAAGTACAGGACATAACATCCTGATGATCATTATGGTAAAGAGTTCCTGGTCCCTCCAGTAAAGCTGGGCATTAGATTAGTGTGATCCTGTAAGTAGCCTAGCTGCCCTGTGGCCTGTGTGTGTCTGTCTGTTGCCCTGTGCCACTAGCTGTGCCAAGTCTCTCCCTCTCCCATACCTGACCAACAGAACCTAACGGATGGGGAAGCCCTTTAGATAGAGTGTGAACACCTGGCTCTGGCACCAACATCACACTCACTGACTTGGTGGACATAATGAGATTACAGGTGGCGGGTGGTGTTAGAGGAGAATATGAGGCGCCACATGAGGTTAAGACACGTGGTGAGACAAGGGACGAATGGGGTAGATGGTCATAAGTGTGACGCTTTTGAGCATCTCAGGTGGAAATGTGAAATAATGTGTGGTTCGTCTTTCGGTGAAAAACTATGTTGCAAGTTGTGATTGTAGTTTGCCCAACAAACCTAAAAAAAGCAACATATTTTACCTTTTGTAGAATGTTAGCTCCCGAGTATCTTGTGGTAGTCTCGCGTAGTTGCACTGAAAGGATATTAGCCCAAAACTGGACCCTGAAATAGACACAGAGAGAGAGAGAGAGAGAGAGAGAGAGAGATTGGCCCTGAATGCGGATTTTCATACCGTGGGTATGACATAACATGTATTTCTTCTGCTCTAATTATGTTGGTAACCAGTTAATAATAGCAATAAGGCACCTCGGGTGTTTGTGGTATATTACCAATATACCACGGCTAAGGGCTGTAACCAGGCACTCCGTGTTGCATCGTGCTTAAGAATAGCCCTTAGCCGTGGTATATTGGCCATATACCACACCCCCTTGGGCCTTATTGCTTAAATCAATCATCCCGTCCATGACAGAATATCATCACCAAGAATTTGGGGCCTTGCTGTCTACATGACGTTCAAAACCAGACAGGATTCTTGTGCCAGAAAAGTCCATGAATATCACAACAGGAGTAATAACAATTTGTTTATTAATCCCTATAGACAGTAGAGGGTTCCAGGTGTCCCTTAAGCACATGATGGGATTTTAAGGCACCTCTCTGTATATCAACAGACAGACAGCAAAGTGGTGTTGTACCGAAATGAAATAGAATGCTGTGGAACGTTATTGGATTGCTTTATATCTCTTTGTTGCTCTTTTGTCCGGATGTTGTGTAGAATCCTGAGATAGGAATATCTGAACCTACCATGTACCTTTATGAAGGATAATACAGAAGCCATTGTATTACGGTCACTCATAAATTAAACAGGACTCAGTCTACTACAGTAATGATGTGTTAACCATAATGCAATGCGGCACTCCATTAAATTTACAGGTAGGTGAATATTATCCATGAACTGCATACTAGAGCTGGGACGATAAACCGAAAATCATAAACACCATCAGTGCCGATCACTTATCGCATGCATTTTGCTGATATTGTAGCCTATACTAGAGAAATTTGAAATTTGAAATGAAAGTTTGCTAATATGGGTGATTTGTTAATGGGATCATTGATGGCTACAACCATCAAACTAGTAGTAGTAGTTTAAAGAATAATAATTAAAAACTGTGGTGCAGATTAATGTTATAATTTATCATTATCGCGTCAATTCTGGCAATTTATTGCGATATGGATTTATGTCCTTATCACCCAGCTCTACTGCATACAGTACCTCAGTGGTAACCTGTACTGGAAACCACACAATAGCATCAGTCAATGATAATACAAGGTAAAGAAGTAAAGGACATGGGTGCAATGGCAGGTACTGTTGGAATTGGAGTCAAGGCCTACCTACTGTATAGTATAAAGCTTAGGGATGAACAGGAGCGGCTTTACAGGTTTAGTTCATTAGGATTCCCATTAGCTACTTCACATGCAGCAGCTACTCATCCTGGAGTCCACATAAAACATACAAATACATGGTAAAGCACAGAAAAGTTATAGACAAGAGCAACATAAGATATTACATTAAATTCGAAATAAAAATAAAATAAGAGTTACAGTTGAAGTCGGAAGTTTACATACACTTAGGTTGGAGTCATTAAAACTTGTTTTTCAACCACTGCACACATTTCTTGTTAACAAACTATAGCTTTGGCAAATCTACTTTGTGCATGACACAAGTCATATTTCCAACAATTGTTTACAGACAGATTATTTCACTTATAATTCACTGTATCACACACTAAATTGACTGTGCCTTTAAACAGCTTGGAAAATTCCAGAAAATGATGTCATGGCTTTAGAAACTTCTGATAGGCTAATTGACATCATTTGAGTCAATTGGAGGTGTACCTGTGGATGTCTTTCAAGGCCTACCTTCAAACTCAGTGCCTCTTTGCTTGACATCATGGGAAAATCAAAAGAAATCAGCCAAGACCTCAGAAAAAAAATTGTAGACCTCCACAAGTCTGGTTCATCCTTGGGAGCAATTTCCAAACGCCTGAAGGTACCACATTCATACAATAGTATGCAAATATAAACACTATGGGACCACGCAGCCGTCATACCGCTCAGGAAGGAGACGCGTTCTGTCTCCAAGAGATGAATGTACTTTGGTGCGAAAAGTGCAAATCAATCCCAGAACAACAGCAAAGGACCTTGTGAAGATGCTGGAGGAAACAGGTACAAAAGTATCTATATCCAGAGTAAAACGAGTCCTATATCGACATAACCTGAAAGGCCGCTCAGCAAGGAAGAAGCCACTGCTCCAAAACCGCCATAAAAAAGCCAGACTACGGTTTGCAACTGCACATGGGGACAAAGATCGTACTTTTTGGAGAAATGTCCTCTGGTCTGATGAAACAAAAATAGAACTGTTTGGCCATAATGACCATCGTTATGTTTGGAGGAAAAAGGGGATGGCTTGCAAGCCGAAGAACACCATCCCAACCGTGAAGCACGGGGGTGGCAGCATCAATCTGTGGGGGTGCTTTGCTGCAGGAGGTGCACTTCACAAAATAGATGGCATCACGAGGAAGAAAAATTATGTGAATATATTGAAGCAACATCTCAAGACATCAGTCAGGAAGTTAAAGCTTGGTCGCAAATGGGTCTTCCAAATGGACAATGACCCCAAGCATACTTCCAAAGTTGTGGCAAAATGGCTTAAGGACAACAAAATCAAGGTTTTGGAGTGGCCATCAAATTTATAAAAAATAAAAACGGAAATATCACATTTACATAAGTATTCAGACCCTTTACTCAGTACTTTGTTGAAGCAACTTTGGCAGCGATTACAGCCTCAAGTGTTCTTAGGTACAACGCTACTAGCTTGGCACACCTGTATTTGGGGAGTTTCTCCCATTCTTCCCTGCAGATCCTTTCAAGCTCTGTCAGGTTGGATGGGGAGCGTCGGTGCACAGTCACTTTCAGGTCTCTCCAGAGATGTTAGATCTGGTTCAAGTCCGGGCTCTGGCTGGGCCACTCAAGGACATTCAGAGACTTGTCCTGAAGCCACTCCTGCGTTGTCATGGCTGTGTGCTTAGGGTCGTTGTCCTGTTGGAAGGTGAACCTTCGCCCTAGTCTGAGGTCCTGAGCGCTCTGGAGCAAGTTTTCATCAAGGATCTCTCTGTACTTTGCTCCATTAATCTTTCCCTCGATCCTGACTAGTCTCCCAGTCCCTGCCGCTGAAAAACATCCCCACAGCATGACGCTGCCACCACCATGCTTCACCGTAGGGATGGTGCCAGGTTTCCTCCAGACGTGACGCTTGGCATTCAGGCCAAAGAGTTCAATCTTGGTTTCATCAGACCAGCGAATCTTGTTTCTCATGGTCTGAGAGTCCTTTAGGTGCCTTTTGGCAAACTCCAAGTGGGCTGTTATGTTCCTTTTACTGAGGAGTGGCTTCCGTCTGGTCACTCTACCATAAAGAACTGATTGGTGGAGTGCTGCAGAGATGGTTGTTCTTCTGGAAGTTTCTTCCATCTCCACAGAGGAACTCTGGAGCTCTGTCAGATTGACCATCGGGTTCTTGGTCACCTCCCTGACCAAGGCCCTTCTCCCCTGATTGCTCAGTTTGGCCGGGTGTCCATCTCTAGGAAGGGACTTGATGGTTCCAAACTTCTTCCATTTAATAATGATGGTGGCCACTGTGTTCTTGGGAACCTTCATTGCTGCAGAAATGTTTTGGTACCCTTCCCCAGATCTGTGCCTCGACACAATCCTGTCTCGGAGCTCTATGAACAATTCCTTCAACCTCATGGCTTGGTTTTTGCTCTGACATGCACTGTCAACTGTGGGATCTTATATAGACAGGTGTGTGCCTTTCCAAATCATGTCCAATCAATTGAATTTACCACAGGTGTAGAAACATCTCAAGGATGATCAATGGAAACAGGATGCACATGAGCTCAATTTCGAGTCTCATAGCAAAGGGTCTGAATACTTACGTCAATATGGTATTTCTGTTTTTAATTTTGTATACATTTGCAAAAAATTTGAACAACCTATTTTTGCTTTGTCATTATGGGGTATTGTGTGTGGACTGATGAGGATTTGTATTTATTTAATCAATTTTAGAATAAGGCTGTAACGTAACAAAATGTGGAAAACGTCAAGGGGTCTGAATACTTTCCGAATACACTGTACATATTCATATTCTTATATACAGTACAGTTAAATTACATCTTTAGAATAAGGAGAGCCGCTGTTAGACAATACAGTGCCTTGCAAAAGTATTCATACCCTTGGCATTTTTCCTATTTTGTTGCATTATAACCTGTAATTTAAATTGATTTTTATTTGGATTTCATGTAAAGGACATACACAAAATAGTCCAAATTGGTGAAGGCAAATGAAAAAAATAACTTGTTTCAAAAAATTCTACAAAATATATAACGGATGGCGCTAAATACAGGGAAATTCTTGAGGGAAACCTGTTTCAGTCTTAAAGAGATTTGAGACTGGGACGGAGGTTCACCTTCCAGCAGGACAATGACCCTAAGCATACTGCTAAAGCAACACTCGAGTGGTTTAAGGGGAAACATTGAAATGTCTTGGAATTGCCTAGTCAAAGCCCAGACCTCAATCCAATTGAGAATCTGTGGTATGACTTAAAGATTGCTGTACACCAGCGGAACCCATCCAACATGAAGGAGCTGGAGCAGTTTTGCCTTGAAGAATGGGCAAAAATCAGAGTGGCTAGATGTGCCAAGCTTATAGAGACATACCCCAAGAGACTTGCAGCTGTAATTGCTGCAAAAGGTGGCTCTACAAAGTATTGACTTTGGGGGGGTGAATAGTTATGCACGCTCAAGTTTTCTGTTTTTTTGTCTTATTTCTTGTTTGTTTCACAATATAAAATACTTTACATCTTCAAAGTGGTAGACATGTTGTGTAAATCAAATGATACAAACCCCCCAAAAATCCACTTTAATTCCAGGTTGTAAGGCAACAAAATAGGAAAAATGCCAAGGGGGGTGAATACTTCTGCAAGCCACTGTATGTTTTTTGGAAAGCTAAACTTGCTTTTTGCCTGAGTAACCTCAGGTGGTAGAACATTCCACAATGACATGGCTCTATACGAGCGACACATTCAATCTGTTTTTGGTTTGGGTACCTTGAAGAAACCCAAAGTGGTATGTCTGGTGGGGTATATATGTCTGTTTGAAGTGTATGCAAATAGATTATACAACTGCTTAGGCATTTTCAACACACAAACGTTTCTAAAAAAGACTAGAAGAAAAGTAGTCAATTCCTCCTCAATCCTCAACCATGAAAGACTATTATGCATGTTGTTGATGTTAGTTCTGTACGTGCAGTTAAGGGCAAGGCGTGCTGCTCTGTTTTGAGCCAGCTGCAGCTTTGCTAGGTCTTTCTTTGCTGCACCTGACCATATTACCGGACAGTAATCAAGATGGAACAAGACCAGAGCCTGAACAACTAGTACAGTTGATCTTTGTGTCAAAAAACGCAAAACATATTTTTTATAAAAGACATACCTCTCCCTATCTTCGCGATAACTTTGTCAATATGACTTGACCATGATAACTGCCATTGTATAGTGAATGGACTAGCTAACCCCTTCTGGCCTGACAGGGCCCTGGGGCACTGGGGCCAGCAGACTGGCCAGACAGGCAGAGGAGTTAGAAGATAGGCTGGGCTGGGAGAGCTAGCTTGATCTCATTAGAATATGAGGGCCAGCAGTCAGACATTAGAGCAGACTGGATCTGTGCAGCCTGGGCTAGGAGCTGGGAGCTGTAGGAACCTGTAAGGCGGCTCAGCCCCCGAAGTGACTCTTATCAACTGTATACAGGGAAGCCTTTGTTGTCTTAAGAATGCTGCATTATTTTACAAACACCTATTCTGTCACACCTCTGTGATTCAGAGGTCCTGTCATCTTTACATCCTGTAGGTCTGATATCTGATTGTGGTCAACTCAACAGTAATGATATTTGTCAACAACTCAGATTTCAATCCATTGTTTTACCACTACATCACTGCTTTTACCTATTCACACCCGAGGCCAAGGCATGCATACTTCTGGGGAGTCTGGGTCTGGGTCAGTCTAGATTCAGTTGTGAAACAAATGCTGCCAGCATCCACTGAAAATCAATCACTAACTTTCCCCCTCTCCTCCAGCTCTCCCAGACCCCCTCCATCTCTCTCTCTCTTCTTTGTTCCTGACCTGCGCTGGTGAGATACCTACACTGTCTGTCTTTCTCTCTCTACCCCAGGGACTCTTGGGGCATGGCCTTTCAGGCTATGACGTCTCTCTCTCTTTCTCCCTCTCTGATCATGCCTAGAGTAATGCATTGTAATGCTTGTTAATGTTTTGTAACTTAAGCTTCATGCCTTGTATGTGATTTTATTCATTTTACAATGATATTAAATATCTGCCTTCAGTATTCCACTCTCAGACCTATTCTTGCTAGTCAGCGTCAACTCATTGCCTAATGCTTGCTTGCATATTTTAATTATCTTTATGGAGTCAGATAAACATTTGAATAGGCTAATTGCATAGTCTTATCACGGGTCGGAGGTGAGGTATATACGGTATATAATTTACATACAGTGCCTTGCAAAAGTATTCATTCCCCTTGGCGTTTTTCCTATTTTGTTGCATTACAACCTGTAATTTAAATTGATTTTTATTTGGATTTCATGTAATGGCAATACACAAAATAGTCCAAATTGGTGAAGTGAAATGAAAAAAATAACTTGTTTGGTGGTTAAATCAACAGAAGAAATTCTAAAAAATAAATAACGGAAAAGTGGTGCGTGCATATGTATTCACCCACTTTGCTATGAAGCCCCTAAATAAGATCTGGTGCAACCAATTACCTTCAGAAGTCACATAATTAGTTAAATAAAGTCCACCTGTGTGCAATCTAAGTGTCACATGATCTGTCACATGATTTCAGTATATATACACCTGTTCTGAAAGGCCCCAGAGTCTGCAACACCACTAAGCAAGGGGCACCACCAAGAAAGCAGCACCATGAAGACCAAGGAGCTCTCCATACAGGTCAGGGACAAAGTTGTGGAGATGTACAGATCAGGGTTGGGTTATAAAAAAATAACCAAAACTTTGAACATCCCACAGAGCACCATTCAATCCATTATTAAAGAATATGGCACCACAACAAACCTGCCAAGAGAGGGCCGCCCACCAAAACTCACGGACCAGGTAAGGAGGGCATTAATCAGAGAGGCAAGAAATAGACCAAAGATAACCCTGAAGGAGCTGCAAAGCTCCACAGCGGAGATTGGAGTATCTGTCCACAGGACCACTTTAAGCCGTACACGCCACAGAGCTGGGCTTTACGGAAGAGTGGCCAGAAAAAAGCCATTGCTTAAAGAAAAAAATAAGCAAACACGTTTGGTCACCAAACATATGGAAGAAGGTACTCTGGTCAGATGAGACTAAAATGTAGCTTTTTGGCCATCAAGGAAAACGCAATGTCTGGCGTAAACCCAACACTTCTCATCACCCCGAGAACACCATCCCCACAGTGAAGCATGGTGGTGGCAGCATCATGCTGTGGGGATGTTTTTCATCGGCAGGGACTGGGAAACTGGTCAGAATTGAAGGAATGATGAATGGCGCTAAATACAGGGAAATTCTTGAGGGAAACCTGTTTCAGTTCCAGAGATTTGAGACTGGGACGGAGGTTCACCTTCCAGCAGGACAATGACCCTAAGCATACTGCTAAAGCAACACTCGAGTGGTTTAAGGGGAAACATTGAAATGTCTTGGAATGGCCTAGTCAAAGCCCAGACCTCAATCTAATTGAGAATCTGTGGTATGACTTAAAGAATGATGTACACCAGCGGAACCCATCCAACTTGAAGATGCTGGAGTAGTTTTGCCTTGAAGAATCGCAAAAATCCCAGTGGCTAGATGTGCCAAGCTTATAAAGACATACCCCAAGAGACTTGCAGCTGTAATTGCTGCAAAAGGTGGCTCTACAAAGTATTGACTTTGGGGGGGGGGGGGGGTGAATAGTTATGCACGCTCAAGTTTTCTGTTTTTTTTGTCTTATTTCTTGTTTGTTTTACAAGAAAAAATACTTTACATCTTCAAAGTGGTAGACATGTTGTGTAAATCAAATGATACAATCCGTTTTAATTCCAGGTTGTAAGGCAACAAAATAGGAAAAATGCCAAGGGGGTGAATACTTTCGCAAGCCACTGTATGATAAATATTCCTCCACTACAAACTGGGCTGGGAGCTGCAGGTGGTGCAGCCTGAAGTCTAGAACAAACAGACAGTCTGGATTATGGCACTATGGCTCAGCTCAGGATAATACTGTATGTAGGATCAGATATAGGATCAGCTGATGCGCTTAAACTGTCCCAGCATAACACATACACACAGCAGTGTTGTGTATTATTTTGTGTGTGTGCGTGTGTGTCTGGCTGTATGAGCAATATCAAAGCAGACTTGTTTAACCCAGCCAAAGATATACCATATTGTTAACATTCTGTCCCAAATCAAGCAACGCTCATTCAGACTACTACAGTCGTGCTGAGACATCAGGCCGTGATGGCTCCAGTGTGGTGCAGGTTAACATGCAGGAGGTTCCTCTGTCAACACACTCCAACCTGCACGACCATCTGTGTGGGCCTGTGTGTGTGTGTCACGGCCACCAGCCCGGCCAAAATGGGTGAGGGCAGTATCCTGCAGGATAACATATGACCGGCACTTTCCCCTTTGGACCACTTCCTCCTGACTGACCACTGCTGACTGACTGACCACAGCTGACTGACTGACCACTGCTGACTGACTGACCATTGCAGCACTGACTGACCACTGCTGACTGGGATTTTCGGGGGTAGAAATGTGACCAAAAAAAACATGATTCTGAGTACAAAAGACAATGACATCCAATGCCAAATGTTGCCTGCTGGGAACTAAGATTAGGAAAGCTAGAAAATTCTCAGACATAGTATATTTTATCTGTGACACACTAGCGTAAAAACCAGTGGAGCCTCATTATTGTTATTTTATTGTGTTACTTTTATTTTTTTCATTTTATACTTTAGTTTATTTAGTAAATATTTTCTTAACTATAGTTTCTTAAAACTGCATTGTTGTTTAAGGGCTTAAAAGTAAATATTTCACGTTAAGGTCTATACCTGTTATATTCGGCGCATGTGACAAATAAAATGTGATATGATTTGAGCTGTCGGCGGTAAGTTGTTGGCTACTTTGAAGAGCGCCATAGCTTTTGGTCAATCAGTATGATATTCAACCTGACTCAAGAATTTAAATGTATGTAAGATCAGGAGAATATCCCGTTTGTCCAGCGCCGACCCTGTAGTAGCCTACAAATAGAATCTACAGAAACACAGACAAGCACAGAACAGCCAGCTCTCACAATTGTGCCTAGGGGAAATAGTGATGCACTTTACAACAAAGACAAGTCTAGACTAGTCCCACATGGGAAATGTAATGTAGTGAACCACGGGACAAACACTGTTTGTCGCTGGATGACGAATCACATCAAATCATGTTCTGGGACTGGTCTGGCTGCCCTCTGGCTCTGTCCCCTAATGTGGTGGGATGAGTGGGGACACAGGACCAGGCGAGCAGAGAGCAGAGGGCAAGACACAAGCGTGATTAATCTCCCAGGCTCATGTGACCTTTTTGGGGGCTGTGGTTTTGGTGACAGTTGGATGGGGTTAAATTATAGCAGAGGAAGAGAAGCGGAGGGAGAGGAGAGAGGAATCAGGGTCAATGTGTAATCAGGCCTTAAAATGAACCGAACAGCAGCTGACTGCAGATAAACAACAAGCACCAGCCAGTCAGGCAGTCAGGCAGTCAGGCAGTCAGTCAGGCAGTCAGTCAGTCAGTCAGTCAGTCTATCAGACAGACAGTATCAGAATAGAGATTCAGAATAGAGATTCAGAATAGAGATTCAACCTCCTCCTTATATGCCAGTTATCAGACAGTTTAATCCTCCTCTTCTATAACTGGGCTGTGATTCGGCTGGTCAGAAAATGTGCTTCCTCAAACATTTTCCAAGTGCAACAATTGCATTTGTTAGAAGAGAGAAAGTCAGTCACTTGCATCCATCCTCTTTTACTGCTGCTGAACCATAGTCAGGGTGACAAGATGCTGACAAAACTATGGAGACCCATTAACTTTCACTACAGGATTGCTACAGACCACACAGATATACAGTGGCTTGCGAAAGTATTCACCCCTCTTGGCGTTTTTCCTATTTTGTTGCATTACAAACTGTAATTTAAATAGATTTTTATTTGGATTTCATGTAATGGGCAAAATAGTCCAAATTGGTGAAGTAAAATTAAAAATTAACTTGTTTCAAAAAATTCTAAAAAATAAATAACGGAAAAGTGCGTGCATATGTATTCACCCCCTTTTGCTATGAAGCCCCTAAATAAGATCTGGTGTAACCAATTACCTTCAGAAGTCACATAATTAGTAAAATATAGTCCACCTGTGTGCAATCTAAGTGTCACATGATCTCAGTATATATACACCTGTTCTGAAAGGCCCCAGAGTCTGCAATACCACTAAGCAAGGGGCACCACCAAGCAAGCGGCACCATGAAGACCAATGAGCTCTCCAAACAGGTCAGGGACAATGGAGAAGTAGAGATCAGGGTTGGGTTATAAAAACATATCTGAAACTTTGAACATCCCACGGAGCACCATTAAATTCATTATAAAAAAATGGAAAGAATATGGCACCACAAGAGAGGGCCGCCCACCAAAACTCACGGACCAGGCAAGGAGAGCATTAATCAGAGAGGCAACAAAGAGACCAAAGATAACCCTGAAGGAGCTGCAAAGCTCCACAGCGGAGATTGGATTATCTGTCCATAGGACCACTTTAAGCCGTACAATAAGCAAACATGTTTGGTGTTCGCCAAAAGGCATGTGGGAGACTCCCCAAACATATGGAAGAAGCTACTCTGGTCAGATGAGACTAAAATTGAGCTTTTTGGCTATCAAGGAAAACGCAATGTCTGGCGCAAACCCAACACCTCTCATCACCCGAGAACACCATCCCCACAGTGAAGCATGGTGGTGGCAGCATCATGCTGTGAGAATGTTTTTCATCGGCAGAGACTGGGAAACTTGGTCAGAATTGAAGGAATGATGGATGGCGCTAAATACAGGAAAATTCTTGAGGGAAACCTGTTTCAGTCTTCCAGAGATTTGAGACTGGGACGGAGGTTCACCTTCCAGCAGGACTATGACCCTAAGCATACTGCTAAAGCAACACTTGAGGGGTTTAAGGGGAAACATTTAAATGTCTTGGAATGGCCTAGTCAAAGCCCAGACCTCAATCCAATTGAGAATCTGTGGTATGACTTAAAGATTGCTGTACACCAGCGGAACCCATCCAACTTGAAGGAGCTGGAGCAGTTTTGCATCGAAGAATGGACAAAATCCCAGTGGCTAGATGTGCCAAGCTTATAGAGACATACTCCAAGAGACTTGCAGCTGTAATTGCTGCAAAAGGTGGCTCTACAAAGTATTGACTTTGGGGGGGGGGGTGAATAGTTATGCACGCTCAAGTTTTCTGTTTTTTTTGTCTTATTTCTTGTTTGTTTCACAATAAAAAATATTTTGCATCTTCAAAGTGGTAGGCATGTTGTGTAAATCAAATGATACAAACCCCCAAAAAATCATTTTTAATTCCAAGTTGTAAGGCAACAAAATAGTAAAGTACTTTTGCTATGCACTGTAGAAGACAGTATAGTACGAATACCACTGAGCTGAGTGAATTGCTCAGCATAGACTTGTGCCACTTGTGTCTTTACATTTGGCATGATCCTCAAAAAGTTCTAAAGCTGCACCATTGAGGGCATCTTGACTGGCTGCATCACTGCTTGGTATGGCAACTGCTTGGCATCCGACCGCAAGGCGCTACAGAGGGTACTGCGTACGGCCCAGTACATCACCGGGGCCGAGCTCCCTGCCATCCAGGACCTCTATACCAGGCAGTGTCAGAGGAAGGCCCTAAAAATGGTCAAAGACTCCAGCCACCCAAGTCATAGAATGTTCTCTCTGCTACCTCACAGCAAGCGATACGGTGTGCATATAGCCAAGTTATCGTTACTCATTGTATATTCATTCCTTATTATTTTTATATTATTTTTTCTCTCTGCCTTGTTGGGAAGGGCACATAAGTAAGCATTTCACTGTTAGTCTACACCTGTTGTTTATCAAACATGTGACTAATACAAATGCATTTTATTTTGATTTGACACACAAAGCATCAGTAACCAATATGAAACTTTAAAGGAGAGACTGTTGGTGAGCACTACTACATAGTTCTGAGGGTCTACTCACGTCTCAGGCGGTATCTTCATCTGAGCGTGAGCAGTGAAGCAGAACCAGCTGAAACACAGGATCCACAGGCCCAGCCTCAGCCCTGTGGGGGTCCCTCTGGGTCTGAGCCTCAGCCTTGTGGGGGTCCCTCTGTGTCCCAGCCTGTTTGTTTCTCCACCTGATCTGGCCCTGGGTCGTAGTCCCATCCTGCCCGGGTCCACTGTGTCGCTTGAGGAGGACATCCGTACACGTCCGGTACCTATGGCTCCTCTCCAATGTCTCAGTCAGCACACAACAAACAATGACAACACACCTCAGGATCAGCAAGCCTCAGGAAAGTGTTGAGGAACATCCCAATGAGTCTGTAGGGTTAGGGTTAAGTTTCCTCATGTCGGCTAAAGGAAGTGGATGACCTTGACATCCTTTCTGACTGTGTTGAATGTATGACCCAGAATGATCTTCTCCTCAGTGTCCATGAATACCCGGTGTCTGGATCCTGTCATCCTCCAACCCTTTCTCTCCTTATCTTCTCATCCTCTCAAAACCACAGGTCAAAGTCTCGTCTTGACAATCTTAAAGCACCACCACCTGCTCCTGTTGCCTTCTGGAAGATTAGAAGCTCTAAAACATTCCAATATGACACAATGAAGAGGCACTATTCAGATCACTGTGACCTGTCAATCAACCATGAAGAAGACACTCTAAGAAGTATTCATCAGAAGTTCACCATGCAGTGGTCATTCACATGGATCTAGTTGCTGTAGTTCCTATGCGTCCTGCCGGTGAAGGATCCCCTCGAGGTCCCTGGTAGCCCAGAGCAGATGAAAAGGTTACACAGAGACCAGACCAGACAGATGTGTCACACTGACAACGTCAATGGCCAGATGAAAATATCCAGAGAAAAAGGCAGGAGGGATGCATTTAGCAGCCATTGATTTGCCGACGCTGCCTTCTCTGACAGTCACACAATTTATGGCATAATCTACTTGGATTAAAGCTCCCCACCCCAACCGAGAAGGGGATAGGAGAGAGAGAGGAAGGGAGGGGTGGATAGAGGGAGGGAGGGGAGTAGAGAGGAGGAGGGAGGGAGGGAGGGAGGGAGGGAGGGAGGGAGGGAGGGAGGGAGGGAGGGAGGGAGGGAGGGAGGGAGGGAGGGAGGGAGGGGGGATCGAAGCGGAGGATTGGATGAGGGGTTTGTTTTATCTAAGAGGATTATAGTGATTTCTGGAGACAGGCTCTTGTCCATCCAATCAGTGGAGGATAGATAAAAGCCCCAACGATTTGTTTAGCGAAGGCAGTTCTGGACTGTCTGGGACATCTAGCAGAGCCTGATACTCCCCTCCAACATCAACAAAAACATGCTTGCCAAGCCTGCTCCTGCCCGGCCACTCTGGCACTGTGGTACTCTGGTACAGGAGCACCGCTAAGCAGGGACATAGCATTGCTGAGTGAACTCACACACACACACACTCACTCACGCATGCATGCACGCACACACACACACATCTTTTAAAAAAATGCATGTTTGTACTTTTGTCTTGAAACAGTGCTGCAGTGAGACTATGTGATAAGGGATGTACAAGTGGGACATCAACTAGAGGTACTTTAAGACTAATCTCCTTTAAAAAAATCTATTAGAGGCGGAGAGCACTAAGCTGCTACTCTCCTGACCTATGGGATCTCATGGTATCTCATATTTAGTCTTATCTTATCTTATCTTATCCATGACCTTCAATAGAGAATAGAGTTTAGACTCCCAAATGGTTTGGAGCATTTGTCACTAATAAAAAATGGTCAATTTCTAAAATGACACATTGAGCTAAACCCATCAACCCATATTACTCCGTCCTCAGTTGTCCGTGGTTGAGATTGAAGTCAAGACAAGAGCTCCCTCTGCTGGCATGTGAGGAAACACGCAGGAGTTTATCTCTTGGAAGGGATGGGGGTATAATACAGAGGGATTCATCCCAGAAAGCCGTACTGCAACTTAGTTGAAGCAAATACTCTTTATTTATCCTAACATGGTGTTCATTCTGGGGTGATGAGACAAGGAAAAAAGAATTGCACCGACCCACCCACAAGAAAATATAATATTATTCCAGTTAACTTTCTCAGAAGACTTCTTTTTGTACAGTGCTTTTGGGAGACAGGACCGTTGTGGGTCACTGTGGAGAGGTTAGGTTTAGTGGCACACCTGTAGTAACTCACGGTGGCCTGGGTGTCTGGTTGGCCCCTGTAGCAACCAGAGCTGTGCTCTTTGGCCAGTACACAGCGTGACAGAGTAAATCACCCCCAGTTACATGGATTCTAATCTACGCCCACACTGGAAAACATCCTAGATTAGCATTTCTACTTGGATATGCTGTATGAACATAGGCCCAGCAGCATGCAATAAGTAAACGTCCATTCTCCTCTCTTCATGCACCTTGCCTGGGTAGCGAGGTAATTTACATTTACGTCATTTAGCAGACACTCTTATCCAGAGCGACTTACAGTTAGTGCATACATTATTTTATATTTTTCATACTGGCCCCCGTGGGAATCGAACCCACAACCCTGGCGTTGCAAACACCATGCTCTACTGAGCTACATCCCTGCCGGCCATTCCCTCCCCTATCCTGGACGACGCTGGGCCAATTGTGCGCCGCCCCATGGGTCTCCCGGTCGCGGCCGGCTACGACAGAGCCTGGATTCAAACCAGGATCTCTAGTGGCACAGCTAGCACTGCGATGCAGTGCCTTAGACCACTGCGCCACTCGGGAGTACATGATGATAGTATTATTATGATAGTATTATTCTCTGCAGATTATTATTATAGTCCGCAGCAGGGTCAATTTTGGGTCATATTGATCTCACACCCAGAGCCAAATCAGTTAGTCCATTTAGGCTTTCAAGAGAGAGTAGTTTCATATGGACCCACAATCACACAACCATCACATCAAGCTCATCTGATCAAGCTCCTCGGCTCTTCTAGCTCTCTGATATGGGGGCTTATCCAGCCCTCCCCAGAACAATACTCCCATTGAGGAGAACAGAGTAGCCCCCGCGTGGCCCAGGCCCTCAGAGACCAGCCAGGGCCAACCAGTGGGGTCCAACAGGCGGCTAATAGGCAGGCGGGGCACGGGGCCCAGGGTCTGATCCATGCAGCTGTTGCCTGGCACACTCCGGCCTCAGGGAGACACGACAGTTTATGTTAGTGCCAAGTGCTGCTGCTGCCGTGGAGGGGGTGCTGCTGCTGTGGAGGGAGTGCTGCTGCTGTGGAGGGAGTGCTGCTGCTGTGGAGGGATTGCTGCTGCTGCTGTGGAGGGGGTGCTGCTGCTGTGGAGGGAGTGCTGCTGCTGTCGTTGGGAGTGCTGCTACTGCTGTGGAGTGGGTGGTAGGGTGCTGCCTGGTGCAGCTCTTTCATTGTGGGCGCATGTGGAAATGGTGGGAGTGGGGATGGAGGATAGATGGATGGACAGACCGATAGATGGATGGACAGAGGGATGGTGTAGTCACTGCAAGGCCAGACTGCACAGGGTGGTACGAACCCAACCACCCACCCATGATCCACCCCTCATCAACATCTTCACCCTGTCTGTCCTCCCAGTCTGCCCCATGCACCATGCTGTTCAATGGGCAGAGACTAGGGACTAGACAACCCCCTCTGGGATGGGCATTCTACAGAGACAGGCTGGTCTTGTCTGGAGGATAGGGTGAGAACTAGGCATGGTTTCAACCCTATGCAAGCGTTGAGCAGAGTGATCTGGCTGGAGGATAGGGGTGAAGACTAGGCCTATGTTAAAGTAGAGCAGATCTTCCAGCCTTGTAGTAGATTCACTATAGTGTATGCCACAGTAAGCAGGGTGCGGCGGGGTCCACTCTTCCCAGAGCTGAGGGATGCTGAGACGTGGGTAATTACAGATACTAAAAATACTGCAGCATTTGTTGGAGTTAATGGTCGTGCTGCTACAGTATACCCACTGCAGTTCAGCATACACACATACATGAACGCACACACACATGCACGTCGCACATACTCCCGTCGTACACACACACACACACACACAAACGCACACAAACAAACACAAACACACACGCACACAAACACACACACACACACACACACACACACACACACACACACACACACACACACACACACACACACACACACACACACACACACACACACACACACACACAGGCAAAGAGGTAGATAGGGTTACCCTGCTGACAGAGCAGGATGCCTGGCATTACAGCCCAGGAGAAGGCTCTGAGAAGGGCCCAAAGGGTCTAGGGTAGCAACAGGGGCATGGAGCCTCAAATATTCCGACATAGAGCCTAAGAATATTCGGGCAACACTGCAGAAAAATGATGATACATTTGCATGTACAAGGTATCTGTCACTGTGACCCCCACAGTGAATCCAGCAGAGGGTGCTGATATGGGATGTGTAGTAGACAGGACATTTTATTTGCTGTAACCTTAACCTAACCCTAGACTGGACATCACTGTGTTGCATTCTGACCGAGCAGTATCACACACTTCACTCTGAAACCATGTTTGAGCAAGTTCATTGATGCTACTGTGGGGATACGTTCAATACAAAGTGGTATGACACAATGACACTAATATGAGTATTTGGCTAATCTCTGAGAGGTCATCCTTTGGAGGAGTCCATTGTGATGCCCTCTCCACAGTACGTACACACACATGCCATGAGGTCCATACTGATGCCCTCTGAATGGATTCCTATCCACAGTCCACACACTCCATGCCCCCAGATGAGCGTGACACTGATCCAACCAGAGAGACCATTTTGCTCTCCACCTTATTTACTGATCCCTGTGCATATGACATCACCACACAGTCCAATATCAGGTTGCTCAGAAGTTGAAATATTAATGGCGACATCTGCTTAATTAAACTTCAGACCCTAATCTTCTGTGCCAAACCGCTGGTGCCGGGGTTTAAAAGTCATGCATTTCCCCCCTTTTCTAGAAGCATTTTCTCCCCCTACTGAAGAACAGTGCTTATCTCACAGTTGGTTTATTATTTATCCCCAGGCATTAGGCCAACAGTTGCCGTTCGTTCTGCCTGTTGCTCCCTCTCTCTAGCCCTGTGTCTGTCCGCACCTGCAGCTGTCACTTCTGCCTGCCTGCCACGGTTACTGCAGCACACTCTACCCACTTCCCTCTATGCCGGCCGGCGGCCGAGCCCCTTCTGTAGAGAATAGAGACCCATTCTGTAGAGAGTAGAGAACCCTTGTCTGTAGAGAGTAGAGACCCCCTTCTGTAGAGAGTAGAGACCCCCTTCTGTAGAGAGTAGAGACCGCCTTCTGTAGAGAGTAGAGACCCCTGGTCTGTAGAGAGTAGAGACCCCCTTCTGTAGAGAGTAGAGACCCCCTTCTGTAGAGAGTAGAGACCGCCTTCTGTAGAGAGTAGAGACCCCTGGTCTGTAGAGAGTAGAGACCCCTGGTCTGTAGAGAGTAGAGACCGCCTTCTGTAGAGAGTAGAGATCG